TAAATAAAAATAAATAAAATAATTGGCATACCAATTAAATAAGCTTGTTTTATAATATTATCTGTACTACTGTTTGTGCACATATTTTGATATGCATATTTTCAACAAAGTAATTATTAAAGTTTACTAAAAATAGTTTTATTACTTCTGCAAAAGGATGTTTAATGTCCTTCCAATAAAATACATCAGAAAGAAAAGCCAATGAAGCTTTATTGTAGTTGTGTCATTTTCAACATAAAGCAAATGTCCAAATTTGAAAATGGATTCAATATATTCATCATAAGAACCAGAACAAAAAAAAAGTGTAGTATTTATATCTAATGTACTAGGTATAATATTATCCAATAAATCTACTATCATACAATATTCAGTATCTTTACAGGTACATCCAAATTTAAATTAATTACATTTCTAATTTTATACCATCCATTATAAGCCAAATCAAAAAAGCAAGTTGATTCTCCATGGTTTTAGTTTTTTTGCAAATACTTTTCTTGATTCAAAAATAAAATGGAAAAGTTTTTCAAAGAAGGGATAATATATTAATATAACATGTTCTTTGCTATTGAGAGAAACATGTAATGGACTTAGAATTGGAATAAAAGAATTGATTTTATCTGGTATTGAATATTGGAAATTTGTTTTATGTAAATGTGTTAATACTTTTCTAACAAATAACTACCTGGGCCAATTTGCAACTAATGGTGCAACTCTATTATATAAAATTCTAATCCCTTATCAATGTTTAATATTATTTGAATTACATTAATATAATTATTCATTGAATAAAGATTTTTTTCTTGTAACCCAATCAATCAAACTTCTTTCATTAAGTGTTCCTCTTTTCTTTCTGCAATTACATCATTATAACAATGAACTATAAGTAATTCTATTTGATCAAAATTCTCTATACTAGATTGTTTATTGGAAAGCTATTGTTTTTTACAATTTGAATATGAAATATAAAATATTCCATAATATTTGTGTATTAACCAAAAACAAATGTTATTTGCATCAATATTTGTCAGATTATAAATTGATTTATTGTTGAAAATAATAGATATTGATATATAAACTTTAACTTGCGTACAAATACAAGTTGTTATATATTTTGCTGTTGATAAAGTTACAATATTAAGTTTCCACTTTTCATGAATATCATGATAATTATTTAAATTATAAATATACAAGTAATTGTACTAATTGAAATTAAACTAATTAATATAAAATTTATTAAAAAAAAAATAAAAAATCAAATAATTTTATATCTATTACTTGTTCTTTAAAAAAATCTCAAATTTTCGAAAAATGTTCATTTGCAAATTTTTAAATAAAATTATTAACTGTTGTATAACATACAGAAAGTTCAATATTGTTTATTGTATCAATTACAGTATATTGTTGCAGGTGTTATTGTTAACATCTACTCAATGGTTCTTTTAAGGAGTTTATAGTCCTTTTTTATAGGTATAAGACTTTCAGTTTGATTATTTTTTGAATTTTAGAAGGCATCAGTTAGTTTTTAGATAAAATTACAAACTAATATTTATTCACTTTTATCATAATATATCCATTTCAATATTATATCTTTCAACTTCTAAGCTTCCTTAATATTATTTATTTATAATTTTATTATAATATTCTTATTAATTTATCTTCATAATCTCATCCTAATATCCTTAAATAATATATCTTCATAATTTTCATTTATCATCTTTAGTATTGAATAAATATTTTATCATTAAATTTTTTCAATAATTATTAGAACAGAACAAATATAATTAATTATTTAATTGATTGTATAACTTCCATTTAATATCCTCACTTCTACTTAATTATATTCAATAAGTTATCATTTATCAACTTGAATAATAATATTTATTACTTCACTTCCACTATATAAATTTAATGGAAATTTACATACATACACTTATGTAAATAATTATATTTCATCTTCTGAGAATTAAAATTAACTAAAGTTAAAAAATATAAAATTAAAAAATATAAAACTACTGAAACTATTTGAGGTAAGGGATATATTAATACTATTTTAACTACTATGCTACAAAATACTATTTGCTAATAACTATAAATGATATAATACTAATAATATTAATATAATAACTGTTACTAGATAATATTAAATATAAATAATAATAAATGTTAAATAATACTAATTGATATTATCTGTTTTATATGTGATTAAACTAATATGGTTAAATATTAATAATAAGTTAAATAATTGTTCATTCTCTGTTGTATTGATACTACTAATTATATTGAATGTTTTTAATTGATAACTATAATGTTACATTTTATACCATAACACCATGAAAAAATGTGAAAATTTATCATGAAAATCTTCAAATTTTTATCTGATTTTTTCACAGACAGTTTTCTTTAAATCAGATGATCTCTGCAAATATCAATACTACAGAAATAAAACACATATCATTTTGTAGCCAAGAATATAGGTGCCATCCAAACTCAAAATGCTAAATCCCAAATTTCAAATTCCAAATTACTAATTGCTGAAATTCCAAATTTCAAATTATGCCAAATCCCAAATTCCAAACTATGAAAACTGAATTTTGTTAGCCAAAATGCCAAAATAATTTGGAATTTGGGTTGCATATATAGTCAAGAACAAGATTGTTTTATCTACCATAGAAATGCCTTAGTAAAAAATTGTTCTGTCTTATAAATTATGAGTGAAGTTGAAAAAACTGAAAAAAATACAAAAAACTTGTACAAAATTTTTATATTTTATATATCTGTACTATTTGTACTAAAAATATTTAGTACATTTAGTACATTTAATACATTTAGTACAGTATAATCCAATTTCAGATCAGCAAAATTATTATCCAATCAAAATCTTTAAATATCACATGATTTAATTGTACTAAATGTACTAAATTTGAACTGTACTATACTGTACTTAGTATAGTACTTGTACTGTACTGTACTGTACTTAGTATAGTACAGTACAAAATCCCAATCCTGGGTATATTAAATATCAAAAATTCCATGATAATTGTGTATTAAGCAAAAACAAATATTGCTAGCATCAATATTGACTGGATTGTATATTGATAAGTCATTAAATATAATTAGTATTGATGCACATAAAAGCACTTGTTTACAAATGCAAGTAGCCATGTGTATTGCTGTAGATAAATGTACAATATCAGGTCATCTTTTCTCATGTATGTTATAATAATCATCCAAATTATAAATATACAAATAGTTATTCTAGTTATCAATTAAAATTAATTAATGATTAATTTTATTAATAAAAAAAATTAAAAATTGAAATATTAATTACATGCTCATTAAAGAACTCCTTAATTTTAAAAGGATGCTCATTAACAAGTTTTTGTTTGAAATTGTTCACAGTTGTATAACATGCAGAAATACCAATGCTGTTCATTGTATCAATTGCAGTGCGTGTTGCGCCAGATGCAGACAAGTACAATCCAATCTCCATCTTAAGATCGTTGACAAATTTATTCCGTAATCTCGCCATTACATAACATACTGTTACAATCGTTTTTCGTGCTTCGATTTTATTATTCTCTGATCTTCTATCAGGAATTAGTGCCTTTATTAATTTATTAAAACCTCCCAATCGTGGTTCAACTTCCAAAATCATTTGTTGAAAATGGGTTGGATCAAGTTCAATAATTCCGCGACATTTATATAGAACTTTGGTAAGTATGGTAATTTGCTCTACAAAAGTGTAATTCTTTGACTCTAAAAAATAATATATATATATATATAATTTAATATTACAATAAACTTATAATTATCTTACATACCTGATATTTTCGAACTATTATTACGGTCGGGTTCAACTATGCGTAAATAATGGGGATAACAAAATTGTCCAATTTTTAGATATGGATAAGTTTTAAAAGTTCCCTTTTTTAGCTTATTATGTGTTAGAGATGTAAAAAGACGATACATATTTTACTCATAACTACAATTATGAACAGAACAAGGACCATGGTTTTTTTTTACAGCCATAATAAAAGAAACTAATGGTTTATTTGTAAAGAGTTTGTAAATACGTTTATCATCGCGTAAAAAAAAATTCAAATTTTAATCCTTATAATCACATGATATAAATTTTAAGCCAATAAAAACAAACTAGCCCTATGCTAATGTTACACGCTCTCTAACTTAATCAAAGATGTTCAAGATGTGTCTACTGGTCAAAGAAAGAGCTTGTAGAAGGAGTTTTAATCAATTAAGAAATTTTGCAACTGTTAGCCGTTTTTTTGATCCTAAAAATGATGTAGCTTTCAAAAAACTTTTTGGGGAGAAACATAATCAACAAATTTTATTAAGTTTTTTAAACTCTATATTAAGACGAAAGGGGGATGATATGATTCAAGAAGTTAGTTTATTGCCTCAAGAGCAATTTCCCCAATTTGAAGATACTAGAAAGACTATTTTAGATGTTTTGTGTCGTGATAAAAAAGGACATAGATACATTGTTGAAATGCAAAACAAAAGACTCGGCTCATTCATTCAAAGAATGGAATATTATGCCTCACGAACTTATTCTGATCAACTTTTTAAAAATGTAAATTATTTCGAACTTAAACAAGTAATTCTACTTGCTATCGCGAATCATAATATTTTTCCTAGCGAGGTTAAATATGTTAGTTTTTATTATAATCGAGAAGAGGAGACAAACAAATGTTTTTTACCAAATCTTTCTTATGCATTTGTTGAACTTCCGAAATTCACTAAATGCAGAGAACAACTCGAAACTACTGAGGATTATTGGGTACATTTATTGAAGGAAGCTTCCGAAGAACAGGAACCTCCAGAAAGAGCGCCTAATGAGATTCAAGAGGCTTATGGTATTCTTGAAAGACATCGTTGGAATCCGGAGGATAATCTCTTATACGAAAAGACCAGGATGGCACTTTTAGATGATGAATATGCAATTAGAACTGCTAAAGACGAAGGTAGAAGCGAAGGTAGAAAAGAACGTAACGAAGAAATTGCACGTGAAGCTTTGAAAGATGGTTTATCTGTTGAACGTATTTCAAAGATTACAGGTTTATCAATTTCAATAATTAAGGAGCTAAACAATCAATAACATTTTTTTTCATATTGACTTTGAAAAGGTAGGATTGTTGATTATTTGTATTCGCATGATTTTCACAAATCTTATTATGCATTATTTGTTGCTTTACTTCATTAAATAAAGCATTAATAAATAGGGAATGGAATGTACCTTCAAAATTAATTTTTCGCATATATAAGATGATGATCTATAAGAAAAATAAAAGCATGAAATAGAAATAGTAACTGTGAAAGCGTAAATCAGAATTTGTATCAGATTGTAACACGCTTGCAAAATTCGAATAAATTACAAGTTTATTAATATAATGTTTTGTGGATTATTACAAATAAGATTTTTATTTGACTTCGAATATAATAATAAATAAAATGTATGAATTATCTGTGACATATATGTCACGAGGGCGCAGTATGGCACAGTAATTTATTTCGCACAAGTTTGAAATAGATAATGCTATTTGTTTTGCAAATTTCCTTAAAAAGCTTATATATTTCCACAAACGTAACATTCTCTGATGATGAAGATGCCGGTTATTACTATGAGTTATGCTCACATGCTACGAATTTGTATTAATTTTCTGAAATAAAACAGGGACTCGACATTTACAAAATTTAAAAAACAATTTTATTGATATCTAGTATATATTGCATTATTACTATAAAATTTTTTTTTATCTTTCTTCCTCATTTATCGATCCCATATGAGAAAATGATTGACTACCTCTTAAATCAGGTATACTAACATCACTTTCATTTTGTGATAAGGGCATATTTAACAAATTAGATGATGAATTATTGGAATCATTAAGTATCTGATTTATTTCAGAAGAATTAATATTTTGTGCTTCATTTGAATTATTTCATTTGGAGACTTCATTCCTTCTATTAGTATCTCTACAAATGGGGGATGCCGATCGACCCCTTTGTCCTGCTGGAAATTCACGATGACTTAATATTGATGACACTTCCTCATAAGTTGGAGGTGAGGGTACGATTTCTTGAGCATGCCTTGTGACAACATTTGTGTTATGAATTATATCAAATTGTATTTCTATTTCCATATCCAGCAAAAAAATTAGTATGCCTACTTTGCAGATATTTATATCAATAACAAACTTACGTGGTCTCTCCCAGAAGTGAGTTCGAAATTCCTCAAAATATTATTCACCAACTTTGCTTCGATGTCCAGAATTATTTCCTGACATATATTGGCATATTAACTGGTATGGATTGCTGAAGACAGTCACGTAATGGCTGTATATACTATTCCAAATTGTTCTTTTATTTTATTCGCAATGCTATCCCAGAAATTCATCTTATTTCCAATGATACTATGATATTCTGAATTTCAGTTTTTTAAGATATGTTATCATATTAACGAATTTTCTTATTATTATATAGCAAAAAATTCATCGTACCTAGGTCGAGCTTTACATTGCTACTGGGTTCTGTTAAAATTTATAAGGGGTTGTAATACATGGACATGATTAACTCGAATTGTCTTTTACGTCCAAAATTTTATATGGAAAAGTTAATATAAGTTATTATAGCGAAAAAGTGGATTTTTGATTAGCAGAAAAAAATAATTTAATAAAAAAATATCAATAGTTGTATATGTGATAAATTAGGTCACACAATATAGTGATACGATCCAGATAATCTGTGTAATCTGTCAATTTGTGGTACCATCCAAATTTTAATTCGCCATCTGTACTAATTTAATACAATTAAATCATATGATATTTAAAGATTTAATTGGATAATAATTTTGCTGATCTGAAATTGAGTTGTACTGTATTAAATGTACTAAATATATTAAATATTTTTAGTACGGGTATACAGATAAACTGTATAGTACGAAATGCTATTTTGTACTGTACAAATAATGACTTGTACGATTTATTTGTGGCTTGTACGGTTGATTAACTTATATCACGTGATTTTTTCATATATATCACGAAACGATCAGTTATCAATCTATATTACCAAGAAAAATGATTTTTTTAATAAAAAGATTTTTTAAAAACATATTTTATTTAGAGCAAAATGGAAAAAAACTATACACTCTTTAATAAAGAACACAAAGAACTTATAGAAGAAGTAAGTTTAAATATAGAAATGCATAAAAAAGAATATTTTAAATATTTTTATATATCAGTCAATAGTCATGTCAGGGATCGGCATGGGGAGTCAATTTTAATTAGAGGATCGACATCTATGCCGATCACTTTTTGATAAAATGTTTAATATTCAAATTTTGCACATAGCTTTACATTATATCAAGCTTGTAATACATCAATTTTCATCAGGATTGAATAATTATTGCTTAACTTTTATTATAGATAACTTATTTGATAGACAAAAAATTATCAAACTTGACAATATCTTAACATTCAAAAATATCATTTAACCATAGTTTGTGTTACTAGAAAACGTGATACAATGAGATATAAAAAGATCGATTTTATCTTTATTTCATTAAAAGAAGCCTTAAATAACTTGCATCTCAGCTTTCATGTTATCTATTTTTTAATATAAAAAAAAATTAATGTTAGAACAAGAATATGAAATTTTCTCTCCACTACCTTTTTTATTTTTTGCAGAAGAATATGACAGTAATGAAGAGTCGGAACAAGAGGAATTTTTACAAGAATATAATGAAACACTTGATAATAGTAGTACTAATAATATATACTCAAAAGAAGAAGACAATGAAACATTTGAAAAGAAGAAATTATAGAACATTTGGAAAATACAGAACTTATATCATGTATAGTTATCAATTTTGTTGAAGGTAAAATTCAACAATGTGGAGATTCGACAAAATTAAGACCACTATATAACTTATTTGGTACATGACAGGTCAATAGAGATGCAATCAAAGAAGTTGATGGCAATTGTCAAGATTAGGAGTGTGTAATTCTTATTTTCAATTTGATAACAAATATTTACATAGTTCACAAAATAAACAATTGAAAGATTTTAGTCAAGGAATTATTCAGTGGCATCAGTGTATTTCTTGTAACAAATATGTGACTTATTTTTCACGAGATGAAGGATGTACTCTACATTCTTGGAATTTGAATAATCAAAATATTCAAATACCTTGCATTGGTCAATATACATGTAAAGCACTACAAGTATGTTCGCCCTTATGTAAATGTGTATTTGATGTCACCAAACCTCAATGTATTTGCTGTTTATGTTACGAAGATATGGACGGGCATATTTACCATCATCCTGGAAGAAGAAAAAAAGCAACAACATGTGTTACTAAAAATTTCCATAAAGATAATGTAACAAAAGAACTTGAATTATTAGGCAATTGGTTAATTAGCATTGTATGAACAGGAGAACACAATCAAATTAAAAAAGAATTATTAATTAAAACATTCTATATTTTCCTTCCTTTTATTAATATTAAATTCAATCAAGTAGATTTTACTGAAGTGTTAATAAACTGGAAAGAAATCTCTCTACACGAACCACATAGTTTATTCATGATAAATATAATTTTTTTAGAAAATTTTAAAAAAATAAAAAAAGAAAATATGAAAAAAAACCGGAAATAGATGATTTTGAGGTACATATTTGGTTTTTTGAGTAAAGAGGTTTTTATTTTAACTAAATAATAATTTATAAAGAAAAAATTTTAATTATTTGTATATTTTTTAGGAATTTGGATGTGAATTCGGACGAAAATTATGGAACTTACGATCAGATATCAACTTAAAAAAATCTGCACTAGAATATTCAAAAACTATACAGGAATATTACGATGGTTTTCCTAAATTTTTGAATGACTTCTTTTTTGGAATAATAAATAAATTATATTGTAAAAAGATGATAATATATAACTGGTAGTGAAAGAGACGTAATATCTTATCAAAAAGTATACTTTATGAAGAAATTATGAAAATAGTAACCTTTATTATATCTATATTATTAAGAATAGCCTTTCCTCATTTGAGAATTTGGATTTCTCGAGTATTAGCCAGTCTTGATCATATGCCACGATTATTGGGTTCCTTTTGATGATTCCTAACAGTTTATCACGTAACATCACATAGTGATCGGCATGAATGAAAACTTGCAAAAGTCCGAATGAAAAAATTAAATCCAGCAAGACGTCTCATTCAAGGTGACAATGTTTGAAATTTGGCTACTATCAATAATATTGACTTTAAAGAAAAGAGTTTCAAATTTGGAAATATATATGATGTTACTCGTGATAATTCACATGCCACTCTAAGGATGGCATTTTAGGCCCAATTGCCAATCGAAATAGAAACTGTTCCAGAAGAAGTTATTGAATTAACAGCTGAAACTTTGTTATTTGGATTGAATCAAGATACCAACGAAACTTTATCAATATTTCAGCAAGTCATTTATGAATTATTAGATTTTAAGAAAATTGATGATAAATTGGTTTACAAAACAGATTTCGATGCAGAAACTATCAAACGCATTATACTTACTAAATTAGAACATGAAAGCCTTGGACCTTCTCCTAATATTGTGATTTTAGAGCCAGGTGCCAATTCAAATTCGGATAAAAAGATTTTACATGTGGCTGAAATGTACAAAAAAAACTTTGCATTAAAAAGTCATTCTTTTCTAGATATTGTGGCAGATGAAGCTCTCTTTCGTTGGTTAATCAAATGCATAGTAGAATGGCCAAATATAAGGTCCCTCTTAGGACAATGGCATACGTCTAAGGATTTTTGTCTGTTTTATTGGTTTTATTTTCTAGTTATGGTTTACTAAGTTTAGCATCACATTTAGGTATTCATTTCTTAGATAAATTTGAATCTGTGGTTGATTATCGTTCAACTGCACAGGTACTTGATCTTCTATAGGTTGCAGTGGGAATAACTATTAATATCTATATTACTGAAAAAAAAATATCTCTTGATGAAATAATGGATGGTGAAAACAGCTCACACATTTGTCTTAAGGTATATTTATTAGACTATATTTTTTTAGAAAAACACTTAACTAGTTAATTAGTTTTTTTATATTTAAAAATATGTATTATTATGTGTATTATTATATTTTATCAAAGAAAAAAATATTAATTGTAAAACACGATTATTATTGAAATAAAAATTATTAAAATATTAAAAATATTACAAAAATAAGTTATATTTATTATTATTTCAATATTGTGTACATATTTGTTTATTTTTTTTTAATTTATTTTACTTTGGGACAATGAGGTGGCAATGTTACTAGTCGACCTTTTGAGCTAATTTTATTTTCCAAAAGGCAATTTACAACTAGCAACTTGTAAATAGTTACTTTAGTTTACGAATTGAAGAGGAT